TAATTATAAAAATGTATAGTTTCAAGAATCTTAATAAAGTACCAGCGTAACTGCTTAAGGTTAAAAAAAAAAAAAAATAAATAAAATAATAAAAAGGATGTAATGACCTAGTGAAATGGTCAGGTTGTTAAACCTCTAAGTGGTAGGTTGGATGTTCAAATCTCATTGATAATGAAAATTTAAATAATCATCTATGTAATATTTGTATTATGGCAACTAGTACTAACAATTAAGTTAAGATATCTGTAATAGTAGTCACATCAACATGACTGACAGATTATAAGATATTTGTGTAAAATTATATAATATTGTCCTTTGAGATAAGGTTTGTGGTTATACAAAAAAATGCAAACTAGCAATCAGATAATACAAACACTAGATAAATCTTTGTAGTTATATAAATTCATTGAAATTAGGTAACAAAAAGTCTATTTAGAAAGATCCAAATAGAGAGATAACCAGATCATCAACAGTACTACTATAAATACTAGTTTGAGAAAACAGATACCTAGATTTTAGTAACCAAATAGGCAAGAATCTTCAAGTTGAAAGTCTTGAAGATACTACAATTAGACTACTAGAATAAATCAGAAAAAAGAATATTGAACTAACCTAATATACTGATAGACTAGTTGTAGTTCTATATAGGCTATCTGAATTGGAAATTTGATAAAAAGACAAAAAAAAATTCAGAAGCATACTAAAGTATTAGGATTATGCTATAAAGTAGATAAGTGAACTCTACAAAGACATAATGATTTAATAATTAAGTCCTAACTGCAAGTGTTAGTTTTGTTATAGTGATACCTAGGTCAGCTGTAAAAATAAGTACAGAAAACTCTAAGAGGTTTACTTTAAGGATAAACTAGTTCTAAAATTAAGACAATGATCTAAGTATCTAAGTATGACTCAGTAAAGTTAACTCAAGTTACAGCTTTAGAAAGTTTAAAGTGAAACATTCAAACAGAAATATTAGATATAACAATTAATGAAGAATCTTTAGGTGAACTTCTTAAATAAGTAATATAGAAAAGTTACATGTATAACCAATTGTATGCTCTCTTGTAGTAGTTTATTGAACCACAATATCAATAAATGATTAATAAAAGTTAAAAAACCAAAAAAGTTACCTTAATACCAAAAAAAAAATAAAAAAAAATAAAAAAATAAAATAATAATAATAATTTGTTTTTATAATACTATATTTTAATAAGAAATATTCTGAAAATGATAATTCTAATATAATGATTAAGTTGTTATTCTCTAAGCAGTAAGTTCAAAATTTAAATTTTATTAGTTTTACTTTAGTAACTTATTTGAGAATCTAAAGATTATAACTTTGTAATTTAGTTATATCAAAATAAATTTAAAAATATGAAATATTATATAAATAAATCTAAAAAATATATATTTAAATAAGAAGTTTGTTTAAAATTTTGAATAAAAAAATAGTACAACTTTAAATAATATCACTTGTAAAAACCTTGATTTGAAGAAAAAAATTCAAAACAGATAACTTGTATAAGTAAAAACCTCTAAATAGAAGATATCACTAACCTGATCACTAGTTGATTCAAGCATAAAATCACATTATATATAATTAACTGAATTGATAATATGAAAGAACTTGTAAGAATAAACAAAACACTAGTAAAATAATATTAGAAGTATATGAACTTCATAAGATTTAGAAACTAAAACATCTATAGAATAAACTACAGAAAATCTAGTATATACTATTCTTAAAAATAAAGTAGTCTTAAAGATTAAAGACAAAGATCCAAATTATAGAAGAATAAACATTCTTGTAACCTAATGAAGTTAATACTAAGATATAAAATTAGAAAGTTTAACATAAAACATTCAAGCAAAGGTGTTAGATATGATAATTGGTAAAGAACCTTCAGGTGAACTCCTTGAATAGGTAATATAGAAAAGTTATATGTGTAACCAGTTGTACTCTCGTTCTATGATAATTGGCAATTTCTTTGTCCCAACATATTAATAAAGTCAAGATCAAAAAAGGTCACCTTAATACCAAAAAAAAAAATTCTAACATAATTTTATTACATATTATGATCCTTTCTAACTATAAATATAACTTTAAATAAAATCCAGGTACTGTCACCGCCGGCGACAGGTAGATTAATTCTTTTAAATAAATTGAATTTTAATAATTTTTTATGAAAATTTATATATAAAATTTAGTATGTCAACTTATTTGATTTATAAGTAATAGTAATAGAAACCTCTGTATAAGAGCATGTTTTGTGAGTAATATAAACATTTAATGATTAACTTTTTTATTAATATATTTTTATTTTTTGCAAAATGTTAAGAACCAGGTTTTAAATTTGGTTTTGATCAAACATAGGTTTGAAACATATATAAAACCTGAAACCTAAAGGTTTTAGAACCTAAACCAAACCTAAACTAACTTTACCATTGCATATACCACTGAATATTCGTTTGTCGTCGGGTTTTTAGTTAATCCTCCTAGTCTACACGACCACGACCACGGCCATAACCTCTAAATTCGGGTCTAAAGTCACCTGAAGCACCCTCCTTTTTACCTTCACCCCCATCATCGCGGCGACGGTAATCACGGTCACGACCTTGCGGTGGTCGATAAGCTCCACCTTCCCTACCACCTTCCATTTCTATTAAATCATAAATTATTTCAGTCAATCTCGAAAAGATTTCCGAATTAATAAATCTATATAAACTTCACTAACCAGGACGCCTATTGGGTTGTCTAGCTTGTTTTTTGAAAGTAGCAGGAACGATTTCTTGAGGCAAATGTAAATACTCTCTTAGATATTCAATGCCTTCATTAGTTAAAGAGTAATAGTAATATTGCCATGAAAATTGTGTCTTCACGTAGCCTTTAGAGTTAAGACTCTGGCAGGCTTTAATCACATGAAGGTTTGGAACCTCGATGTCCTGATGTTTAGGAGCATTGAAATCTTTTTTTGCGACTAATACGCCCTCTACAATTTATACAGAATAAATTTAATTCAATTAAAAGCAAAGAGTTATATTGATTTATAGAAAGTAAAGACAGACAATTGAATCAACAAGAATACTGCAAACCTTTGAAAAGACTTTCATAGATGCGTTTGCGGTTTTGCTTCGGAATAAGCATCCTTACTATTTGTCTGTCTAATAAAGATTAATCGATTTACAACTTATATTTTTTGAACGAGAGTTTTAACCATGGTCAAGGTATATTATATCAAGCAAGATTTCTAAATTTCTCATCATGCTTAAGCATTAGATAAGTACTGGGTAAAGTACACACCTTTTCAACACGAGGTAGAAGAGGATGAACATATTCTCTTTTACGAGAAATTTTATTCTGATCATGATACAAATCTAATCCAATCAGAATGCAGCATCTTTTCTTATGATAAAAAAAATTTTTTCTAACGATAATTATGCCTTCTTGTATCAAAGATGTCTGTAGAAAATGCTAATGCGGGCTTATGGAGCACTTTAGAACCAAAATTGAGTCCTTTCATGTATGCCAATTATCAGCATTCTTTTATATAACCTATCAAATGACAGCCTTTTATTATAATATCTTGTAGTCTAGAAACCCTGGCCACCATGGGATTCACCGAAATGACACCTGTACAAGCAGGAGCCATTCCGTTGTTTATGAAAAATAAAGACGTAGTTGTTGAGGTAGTAGTGGCAATAACTCATTTCGTTTACAAGTGATAATAGTTGATCATTATCTGAAGAGAATTTTGGTTCAAGTTAGGCTGTAACGGGTTCTGGTAAAACTCTTGCATTTGTCATTCCAATTATTGAAAAACTAGTTCATCTAAAGAAAAGATTTGCCAAAAATGAGATAGGTGCTTTAGTTATAACACCTACAAGGTTTCTGTTAATTATTGACTACAAGAATTGAGTTTTATGTTTTTACTATTTAATAATTCGGTTCAATCCTTTTAAATGACAAAAAGAGAATTGGCCCAACAAATTTCATCAGTATTTTCGATATTTCTTAAAGACTCTGTGATACTATTACCAAAGCATGCACTCATAACTGGAGGTACAAGTACACTTCAAGATGATATTCGTTACATTAAAGAATTTGGACCGGATATTCTAATAGGAACACCTGGACGACTAGAAGATTTGCTGGTTGGTAGAGGATCAGCAAAAAATTATGTTAATACTAAAGAATTAGAAATATTGGTATTAGATGAAGCCGATAGATTATTTGATATGGGATTTTCTCAATCTCTAAATAATATTATTGCACATCTGCCTAAACAAAGACGTACTGGATTATTTTCTGCAACGATGACTGATGGACTTGCAGAAGTTGTACGTGCTGGTTTAAGAAACCCGGTAAGGGTTATGGTTAAAGTCGAAGATCTTGTATCTAAAGATATACAGCGAATTCCTGCAACGTAGGTATTTTAAGTAGCAATTAGATGAAGAAAAAAAAAAAAGTGAATGATTTGCTATCACATTAAAGACTTCAAATAGGATACATCTTGTGTGAACCACATCAGAAATTATCACAGATTTTACGACTGTTAACGCGTGAGACAATTGCAAAAAAATATATGATTTATTTTGCAACGTGTGCGTGTGTTGATTACTTTTTTAAGGTATTGCTTATTAAAAAAAGAGGTTTTCGTCTTAATGATTGGAATCGATTAGCTGATTACCGTATTTTCGCGTAATAAAATCCGTGAGCGTTATTTCGAAAATCGTATCACCTACAAATTACATACATTGAATTCGAAATGATGCCAATGCGCGTTCCAAAACAACGCAATAGTTGAATTGGTCAATTATATAAATGTATTATTATGTCGGACGATTAGCCTTTATCTCAAAAGAGCGTACATATGTGTACTCGAAATTGCACAACCAATACGATTCCAATCTCTAAATTTTTTAAAAATATGCATGACATTAATATCTTAGTCTATTTAATTATTAGATATTCTCAAAATTACCACAACTGAAGGGTATTTCAATTTATTCACTTCATGGAAAAATGGATACAAAAAGACGAACAGGTTGCGTAATATATAACATTAGAATTAACTTTTTATATTAAATACACTAAGATTACCCTTTTATGTAAAAATATTTATCTATATTATATTATTATTTGATTATGTTAGCAACTTATCAGGCATTTCTGAACCTTCCATCAACGTCGTCAGCACTTCTTTTGTGTACAGATGTTGCTGCGCGAGGGCTAGACGTGCCTGATGTGGATGTTGTGATACAAATGGACCCTCCTCAAGACCCTAAAGTTTTTGCTCATCGATGCGGTAGAACTGCACGAGCAGGGAAGGAGGGTAAGGCAATTGTATTGTTAGGTTATGGAAGAGAGGAAGTTTATGTAGGTTAGTATTCGATTATTTTTAGGGTCATCGATTAAATGTCTTCATAATTTACGACTTAATGTATTGCGAATTTTTATGCCAGATTTCTTAAAAATCCGTAAAATTCCTTTACAGCAATTGGCGTATATTTTACCTGGTGATGACAAATTCAGCACCAATTCTCTAGCAGTAAATGATGATTCAATATCACAAGATCCTGTTATTGACGATGATAATGAGGCTTTCTTGGAACAAGTTCGAAACATTGTTTTGAAGGACAGAGAATTGCATGACAAGGTAGTGTTTGTGTTATAAACAAAAATGATATCGTATCAAAAAAATAATATAATAATATTTAAGGATTCTAATTTGGTCTAAATTAAAAGGGGACTAAAGCCTTCGTGTCATATGTTCGTTCATATTCCAAGCACGAAGCAAATTATATTTTTCGATTAAAGGATTTAGATTTGAGAAAAGTGGCGAAAGGTTATTGTTTATTGAGAGTATGTATAAATATCTATTATGTATTAGAGTCAAAACGCGACTCACTCATATGATAAACAATTCATTTGACTGTCTTAGCTACCTAAAATGCCAGAATTAAAAGATATCAAGGTTGAATTCGAGGATACTAGTATAAATGTATGCTTTACGGTTAAAAATGTTTCCATAATCTCAGTTAAATAATAAATAATATTATTATCATTATTAAGATGGACGGATATAGATATGCAAACAAAGCACGTGAGCAAAAAAGACTGTTAAAATTAGAAAGTGATAAAGCAAAATTGAATGACCAGCAAGTTAGGTATGATGGTTTTTTATTTAATTTGTTTAAATTTTATTTATTTTAGTTATCGATTTATAATGAATGTATGGTTTATTTTGTAGTCGTCAAAAAAAAGTATTTAAAGGTCCGTGGTCGGAAAAAGTAGCCGCCAAACAACGCAGGATTGAACGAAGAATCAAAAGATCAAAAAAGAAAGAAAATTTAAAAAAGCGAAAGGCCGAAGAGATGAATGGACCATCCGTGGATATCAACCAAAATAAGGATGTAAGAAGCTATTCTGAAGATGAATGGGAAGAATTACAAAAAGAGGAAAGGTTGGCGAAGAAGCTCAGAAAGGGCCTAATTAATCAAGAAGATTTCGAAAAAGAAACGGGCTTAAGGATTGGTGATGAAGTAGATGCATGAATAACGAAGATAGATTAACGTTAAATCTTTGAATTATGTAAATTACATTTTGTGTTAAACCGATATATGTTAGTTACATGGTTTTAAGAAATTACATCAAAAAAGAGAATATATGTATGCATTAGTTAATAATAAAAGTTTTATAATTTACAAATCTCATGTTAAAAATAACGGGAATAATTCATAAATGTTAAAGTTCTGATAATGATACTTTAAAATATTTTCTGTTTTTTGTGGATTACATACATCGTAAGCGACTTAATGTCTTCGAAACAATGTCTTGTGACAATAGAATCTACAAAGTATAAATTTTAGTTAATCGTCGATCTTTAGAGATTTGATTATTCCCTAAATTCTCTGTATTCGAAAATCATGCCCCTAAAAATAATTGTTTTTTGAAATAATGCCCGAAATAAGGCATATTTCATAATAATTCCGCTCGTATGTTTTTTAATTTTCATAAAATATTTGCACATGACAACCATCAAGAACCTTCACAATTATCACGCAATTTTTAATCGACTAATAATATCGATATATATAGTTATTGCTGATTTTTATGGGCGATGATGATTGGTTAACCCAGCCGTACCGGTTGGTTACCGAGCGATCAGAAAAGAACATAAAATACAGCAGTTGATGCTTACTATCTTAGTTCATGAAATAAGATCAATAATTTTACTATATAAAAGGTACATAAAATGGTTTATTTTATAGACTACCATAGTAAAGCATTGACACTATCGTGTTATTTTAGAACTCTGTGCCAATTAGAAAAATCGACCCATTATTTCAAATAACGCTCATGAGCGTACTCGAAATAACCCCGTTATCGACCGTCAAGTTTTTGGCGTCATAATGTTAAATCTGAACGAACCAGAAATATATCCGTTAGTAATAATATATTTAACAAAGGAAATGATTATGAAATGTATGAATATAAGTTTTTTTATCCATGAATTATTTTCTCCATAAGTATTTTGTCAAACGAAACACTTATTGTATTGTAAAGAGTCGATAGTTAACACATGATAACTTGCTGACAATGAGAGGAAAAAAGGAAATATTATTTCCAATATATAATCTATAAACACGGCAAAGTAATAGATTTTCATGAATTTATAATAAATGAGTTTCCAAAGTTTGTATCACAAGATAATTTGGATTGATTCAATCATTCTTTTTCAGTCTCAAATTTATTATTATGCAAGCATTTGAAAAAGGTTTCTCCCAAAAAGGATACCAAATATATAAGGTAATCTTCTGTAATACTTCTGATCAAATGCATTAAATAACAAAAGTGGGGCAGATCGACCAAGTGTCAAAATGTTGTCAAAAAGTTTAAAAAAGCGCGAAGCACAAAATTCAAAATTTGTATAATCACTATCTGTTTAAACATCAACTGAAATGGTAAAAGTGGCGTCTTTAATAATTGGTCTATCTTATTTCGATCTTGATTTCAAATTTTGTAACACACGAACCTTTAAGTGGAAATTACTCGTATTGATCTACGATTCGTAGTACACAAATTTTGTCAAAGTTTAGTTATTACGAAAAAGTGATCATTTTATTATTGATTTTTTTTTGATTTTTATTTTATTGCATACAAAAAAAGCATAATCCATCCAGGCATCGTACAAAATTCATTAGATGTTTTTTCTACTCGCTTATTAATAATATTTTTTTTTTTTCTTTTGCGTTTATACGATCTTACGCAAACGTTCTACTTGCCGAAAGAAAATCCGTAAAGAAAAATAAACCTTAAAATATTCGAGCACTAATTATTAACCAAGCTATTAATTAGTACTTTAAAAAAGATAAGGCACTGAAACGACGAAAAAAGGAAATTGTTCGGTAAAAGAAAATTTTTCTGTACAAAAAAATTCAGATTTTGTCAAAGAAATTGCCTGCCACTAAATATTTCAACAATGTTCAATATATATATATCTACCACATTCTACAGTTGGACATATAGTATATAACAATTCTCAAAATTCTCAGACCACGCTCCTCAGTTATATTTTTTTTCAATTTTTTGTTTTTTTTTCATTTTTTTTTTTTGTCATCAATGATTAAAATTGTGTAAAATCAATCTCTCGGATGTCTTCCATCTTCACGATTACATCAGCGTGAAGTGCACCATGAATTACTTTTCTCACAGGATCTTCAGGCATATACTCTAATTCACCATCAGAACTTTGTAAAACAAATTGTTTGCCCGCTGGAGGTGGTTTCTTAATCGCAAAAGTCAAAAGAGAAGCGAATGTAGTCTTATCAGTAATAGCAATGTTCTGTTTGTATACTCTATTCGGTGATCGGATAGTAACGGATTTGAGCTGTATGAATGTTGGTGATGGTGTTGAACTCTCTACATAAGAGAATCAACGATTTTCATAATTGTTATTAAATTTCTCAAGAAAACCAAGAAAACATGTATTAAATACATACGCGTACCTGGGCCTGAACTAAAATCGAGGCCTGGAATTTGTGGTAATCGTGGAGGACTCTTCCGAGGAGTAAGAGGAGCCAAAGGTACTGCTTTTGATGATGTTGCGTTAGTATCTGGTACCGCCAAAGGTTGCATAGTAGTAGTCACTGTTCAGAAAATAAATAGATAAATAAAATCAAAACGTTTCCATTCATTTAATGAACAGTGCAATAGAGTGTATTAATCACGTTACCGGGTGTTACGCTACGTTGTTTAGTATAAACAACTAATTGAACTCCTGCTTCTCGTTGATAATCATCCCAGAAAAATTTTAGGGCCCTATCATCATTCAAAGCATAATGTAGTTGTTCTTTATCCAAAGGATTTTGGTAGTATACAATGGATAGATCCACTTTCCCCCACTTTTTCGGAAGTTTTGCATTCAAAATATTTGTGTAAAGTTGTTGAAGGGCATTATTAAGTTCGATATTTGGATCTATGTTTGTAACAGGAATTTTAATTTCACGTTCAAGTTTGATATAGGGAGTCTGCGAAACGTCAAAGCAAACAAGCGTAACTGATGACGAAGAAGCTATCTCTATAATGTGAAAATCGCAAAAAAAAGTTAATTAAATCAAGATCAAAAATTTTTAACACTTTATATAATAAAAATATAAATGATACGATACCATTAACATCTTCATGACTTAGTTCATCACTTTCTTCGTCACCAGGTGTTAAGGTGGTTTTACGTGTACTGTTATATTTCTCTTCAATTCGTACCAAATCCTCTAAAACTTCACGCATCATAGGTTCAAATTCTTGAGAATCCCACCCATGTCCAAGAGCCATGTTATAACTTTCAATATGTTGAAAGTATTGGTCAAGAGAATTTGCCTTGATAGTTCCCTGTTTTTTCTTGGCATCAATATATTCTTGTAAATATTGTTTTGTTACTGGGAAAAATAGCTCCACTGTAGGGTGAACACTCTTGAGCACGTTGACATAGTTTTTAACACCGCAACGTGAAGCTCGGGTCGTAAGGCTGACAGACCTTTGGCGACGACGTGGTTTTGAAATATGAAGGTGCTTACGAGTGGCCGGCATACTCTTTTCTTTTTTTTTAGGTCCTTTTTTTACGGATTTTGAGTACAATAAAGTTGTGTCCTTGATATTTGTTGATTGTGGGGTATTTGTTTAGGCAAATGTTAAGTTAGGCGTAAAGTTATAGTAACAACCACTCTAGTTTTTTATGTTAAAGAACAACTCTGAATGACGGAAAGGTTGGTTAAAGACATGAAAAGTTTTCAAGAGGGGTGAAATCTCCTCCCTTGGGAAAAACGCCACCCCGCCACGGATAACAATTGAACAATAGGGATAACAGAGACATTATCTGTTTAATGTTAATATTTTGATTCAAAATAAATTAATAGAGTAACGTCATTCAATTGATGACGAAACAAACTTTAAAATCAAGAAAATCCATGATGATCTGTTCACAACAGTTGGTTGTTACTCTAACGTGTATACTGTGAAACTGTTTATGTGACAAAGGAAATATTCAAATAAAGGTTAGAATGATTAAAGTCTCACGCACTCTCTATGAGGCCCATTCTGTTTCAATAGATTATTTATTTTCGTATGACCAATAGGTTAAAAAGAGACACGATGTACAAGCCATACTAATCTATTTATAAATTTAAATATTAAATTTTTTTTTTTTTTTTTTTTTTTCATCACAGAAAGAAATGGCAATTCCGATTCTTTGCGTGCATTATAAAAATCAATGTGAATCATTCAACTGGACGAGAGGTGCACCATACCAAAGTGGCACAAAATTTTGAATCATCACAAGGTTGCGTGCGCGAATCCTTAATATTGTTCTCTTTCAAAAAGTTCAGAAATGGATAGGAATGCAACAATAAGTAAGTGTAAGAATATCAACGAAAACTAAAGATGCATCCCCGCGGGAAAGACGGACGCATTTAATATTTACGTGAATTCTTGTTTGTACACATATCTGCATAATGTTAACCACTAAGAAAATTGGTATTTTTTTTCACGTTTAGTTCATACATTAACAGAAGAGTGATTTCATTGAACAATGTCAATAACATACAACAATAGCGAACCATTGTGTTTATTTATGGATGTTAGCATCTGTGCTTCTTTATTGCGTTGCGCCCTTGTTTAAATAAAAACTTTTGATCAACGATTGAACATAATGTTGTTCCAACTCTTTGCCACAATCGTCCAAATTTTGAAACATAACGGAATATAAAGATCAAAGAATTTATGGTTCGGGAAACACGACAATTGTTTTATCAAAACATGGTGGTACGACGTCCACGAGTGATGGTGATCTTACCGTTCACTCAATTTTACGATATATTTTTCTTTCTTTCATGTAGTATCACATATACATTCTGTCATATGGTGTTGTGGAGATGTGGTCTTATTTTCAACAAAAGATCAATGTAAACGAGTCAAATGTTATACCTGATGTTGGGAACGCCTATTACAAATTAGGACTAGTGAGATTTCAAAAGGCATAGACATCACGCACCTCCCA